GGCAGGGGCGCGCGCCTGACGGTGCTTGCGTGCGAGTGGCCACTCGATAGGCTTGTCCTTGAAATGGGGTCACTTGCTTCACCTCTCTTCCTCTCCATGCTTCCTTTTGACCGTAGTGGGTTGTTCATTGGCTTTCAAAATAGTCAAAATTTGTTGATGTGTCCAATGAAGTTTCCTTCGTTTGGGGGTCTTTCCTCAAGTTCTTCTTATTTGTTGGTGTAGGTGTCATTTTGGAGTGTTTGATCAAATATGATCACATCATTAAGTCTAAATAAAAAAATGTTTTAACAAAATATGTCTAATTAGGTTTATACAGTGTTTATGAGGTGATGAAGCAATGAACATCATGCACCAATCACATGCTAGTATCTTGACAAGCAAGGTTGCCATATTTCTTTAACATAATTTTTATCCCTCGTACTAAATTTATTCTAATTCACTCGTTAATTTAAATAAAAAAAATCCACAAAAGTCACTAATTTAATAACATCAAGTTTTCAATTAAATTTAATTAAAATTCATCCTTAAATAACTCTGCTAAACTATAAATTTAAGCTAAAAAACCATCTATATTGTTATTTTTGTCTAAATCATATCAATTTCATACCAAAATTTATGTTTCTAATTCATTGATACATATGAGAATATTATTTTCAAATAAATTTTCAAATGAAAATCTATTAAAGAGCAAAATTTGCAGAAGATTACAATGAAAACATGAGCTCCCAATGGTGCAACTTGATACAAATCGTCAAGTTCATACTCAAAATTGATATTGTTTTTAATTATGTTCACATGTATTTGTGCCCTCCTAACATAAAATCCTAGACCGCCACTGCTCGAATCGAGAAAAATAACGCCTTCGGCTTCTAGTTTGTTGAAGGATATTTTAGGTCTTCGACTTTTAGTGTGTTGAAAACTTCGGCTTGTTGATGAAGTTCTTTGACTTGTTGAAGTTCTTGGCTATGGAGTTTGATGAAATTCTTCGACTTGTAACTTGTGAAGAGTTATTCGACTCGTAGATCGATGAAGTTTTTTTGGCTTTAGCTTGATGAAGTTCTTTAGCTATGCAATTTGATGAATAGTCTTTGAAGTCTTCAGCTTTGAGCTTGCTGAAAATCTTGGACTCGTTGATGACGAAGAAAAGATATAACTTTTGAAGTCTCATGGTCTTTGATTCTTCAAGTCTTCATATTTTGTTGGCTCTAGATATTCTTTTGATTCTGAATGTTCGGAGGGCCCTAAATCTCCAATTCCTCTTCATCCTTCTAAATGAGAGATGATCTCTCTATTTATAGAATCTTAGTGGGTCTTGGACATTTTTATCATGAACTTGATGGATTTGAGCTAGAGATTGATCGATTCAATTAATTGATGTCATCATACAATCATAAGAAAGACATTATGCATAATTTGATTGGCCAAATTTAAAATACCTAAATTTGTGATTGGTTCTAAATATAATTTTAAAATATTGAAATAGCATTTAATAACGGACCAAAATTTATCATTCAACGAATACATTATCTCTACTGTATAATATGTAATTATCTCTCTTGTTCCCGCAGCTGATGCTTGAAATATAAAGCCAAGCAGTCTCCTACAACAAAATCTAAATCCTCAATTTCAGCACAGCAGCTGATGCAGGCAACAATGGCCAAAGTAACACAGCAGGAGCAAGCCCTCTTACATTCAGACACCATTTTCTCTTTTAGTATCAGCATCCAGCATTTACAGAGGCATAAATGAGTAATTACTTGTATTGCTCAAAAGGGTAATTTTGTACATAAATAAATATGAAAAAAGGACATGTTCCACAGTCAAAATTGAGGATTGTAGAGAGAAACACATTGAAAACTTTCTATACTGACAAACCAATCAATTTTACATTTTAAATATCAAGTACTATTGAAAATAGTATAGTACAAATGTAACCCAAATTGAGATTCTAAATTAATAATGCCTCAGATAAATAAGAAATTACAATTTGTCAACCTAATCTTAACTCAACATACTTCTTCATTTCGGGTCGAAGTTTGAATCCGCACCCCTCGATTGTGATGTAATATTTAGAAAGAAAAAAGAAGGTAACCTCAGGAATCTGTCATGGTGTGCTGCACAACTTACCACCACCATCATCAAAGACATTTGAAGGTTGGCCTTGTAGTTCCCCCCTTGCATGCAATTCTAGAGGAAGACCCGCTTTGCTCCTATGTCATTTCCTTTGTGTTCCAGATTAAAACTTCCTGGAAACAGAGAAACGTCCAGGCGACTTCAAAAGCAATGCGATGCAGGGTGCCTGACGCGGGTCTTATAGCTTGCAAGAATAGTTGCTCCTCTTCGAGAAACCTAACGAATTGATCCCCAGTCATTTACTACTAGATTTCTTGTGATTGAATCTTGAAGCTCCAGCAGTCTTGTTAACTCCAAATCTTTCTTTCTGTTGCTTGTTTCCACGTCCGATCCCCATATTTCCACCTTTTCTAGGAGCACCATGCCTGGTAAAATTTGCTTTACGACCATCACCTAAACCATCCATGGTCGAAATCTTCTCATTTCTAGAGAAAGTAGCTCTTTTTCTCATCTTGGATCTACCACCATCATCAGTGAATGTATGATCATCAGTTTTTCTCCCAAAGGAAGCAGAAAACTTTTCCCTCTTCCTTTTCCTGTGATGACCTGATACATTACTCTTGGGTACAGAATCCACCCCATCGTGTTGCTTACCCCTTGCCCTGAGAAATGACAAGTAACAACCGATGTAATAAACATGTGTACACGATGTACCAAAAACAAGTTGGCTTTAGAAAATGGTTCAGACCTATTAGAAGATGAATCTGCAACTGTAGCATCTGTGTCATCATCACCAGCATCCTTGGAACTGGTCTTGCTATGGCGTTTCTGCAATTAGATGGGCATGGATAGAAGAAGTTTAGGGTGGAAATTCGAACCTGAAGAAATTTTCCATTTTTTCCTCTTTAAAAAACACATTTGGCAGGGAATACTTCAGAACAATTCTTTTCCTGATAAGAAACAGAACAATTTTTTTTTTTTTTACAACCAAGAGTCGGAGCTTTATATCCTGCCATATCTTATTTATGCACAACAATGAACTAGTTAGTTATGAATTGATTCAAACATCTTATAGTTTCAATTTCACATAAATAAAAGTATCCTTTCAATTACAAAAACAAAACAATTACAAATATTAGTCTAGTGAATACCGTGACTAACTCCAAAAGATTATCAAACGATGCCCATGAATTCAATAAACATAATTTCAGTTAGAAAAAGTTGGGGCAGCAAGCAAATCACCTCCCAAAGGGTCCTGATGAAACACTTGTATTTTTCAGGAGTAACACCCTCAGTTGCAGCATAACCACATTTTCGTATGAGAATCTCCAGAATTATTGTGACCTTTGAGCAAAATGAACGTATTAGATTAAGACATTGTAAGGATAACTAACAACAATTACGAATATCCAGAGTACAAAAAGAAAATGGTAAATTGATAAAATGTAAAGTTATTTATACAAATATTAATTCCAAAAATAGGTCTCTTTGCTATATTTGTATGTTACCTTCGATCTAAAATGATGCCTTGAGACAGACGACCAAGGTAGAACCGCTACAAGAATATCACAAATGATGCTCTGAAGATGTTTAGCTTGCGAGGAAGACACTAAAACTTTCACAAAACCTAGCACTGCCTATTAAATGGATCAGATCAAATTGTCACGTTGGAGACTCATGTGAAAATAAAAATTAGAAACCGAAGTTAAGATGCATACTTTTATTACTTCTATAGCCTTTCCTCGTAGCAAAGATAAGAGGGAGGGCACAAGATCGGGGATTGAAATGCATATATCTGCATCCTCATAGACCAGCACTGAGAGTGCAGAAATTGCTCCACTCTTTACGTGAGGAGATGCACCAGACAGATAGCCCAACATCTGAGAATATTGTAAAGTCAGCTGCCTCATGTGAAAAAATAAAAAATAAAA